ATATCTATCCCCTCATCACTAGTTTCCACTGTCAATAAAAATGAGACCTTCTAGCAGGTTTTGTAGGATGAGAGGAAAATAAAACTCAGAAACTATAGAATCAGATGGAAGGCTTTTCTTTGATTATGGAATCTTACATTAGTTAGCATTTAGAGCATTGATATAGCATTTATATTGACCTCTCTGTCAAACTCATTGAGCTGTGCACTTATAATAGGTCTAATTCTATCATTTTAGGTGAATCATATTTTGATAAATTTCATTAGCAATTTTAATCAATTAAAGTGTTTCCTTGAGTGGGTGTTCGCTTTCCATCAATACTGCATCTGTCATCTGCAAACTGCAGAGGAGTGCATCGCTTCTTGGTCCTTTGGATGCTATTGAATACAATTCAAATGCTTATTAAGGGACATGTCACTGCTGAAAATGCAAGATATCCATATCAGAAAATGAGTCCTCTGGTTAAAAATAATCCACATGAGGTGAGGACAAAACAGATAACTTAATGAAGGTGTGTTTCACATAATTGTCTGTGATACCTTCATGTAGGGTGACAAAAAGAAGCTTAGAAAATACAGAGTTTCTGCCCAAAAAGTATCAATATATTTTCTGGAGAGATTAAAATAACATTTACCAGTGTATTTGTAGAGCAATGGCAAATATGTATAAATATGATAGTCGGTTATCATGGTTTCACCAATTAGTATAACCAACAACTTGATCATCTTTCATTAGCAAGACTCAGAGAATATACCACTACAAATAAGTCTTACTCCATGGAAACAAAATACAATCAACAATAACAACAATAGGAAAAAAGCAAATACCTTCTCATGGAAGGATGGAAATAAAACAGTACAGAAATAAATACCAGGTGCTTACTTTCATGGTATGCAGTATACCATATAAGAGGTTATAGGTATTCACCTAAGTAAATGTAGAATAATCCAGACTTCAAAATTAGAACAAGGGGCTGGGGATTTAGCTCAGCGGCAAAAGCGCCTGCCTGGCAAGCGCAAGGTCGTGAGTTCGGTTCCCGGTACCGGAGAAAAA